TCATGCCAGTAATATTATCGGTCTATCGCTTTAACTAGTAGTTGGCCATCGCGGCTTCTCCAGTAATCCCATCCCTTACACACAGTAAGTAAAACGGTATTTATACATGACCACTTATTTACCGTTATTGTAATTTATTAATGTGTAAGTATATTGTATGACCATATTGTGTAGTACTAACGATTCTTTGTGGTGGCTGACTAAACAATGATCAAGCGCTTTGTATCAAATACAGCGGTTGCTCGGAAATGACGATAATTCGTCGTCGTACTGTTGGAACGACTGGATTTGGTAATTTGGCCGTGTTTGCTTAGAAAGCATTGGGAAGGTATAACAAGACAACAGTGATGTATTCAAACCGTCTATCCTTGCTATATTTCACATTGATAGGAAATAGCGAGGGAATATTTGCCCATTCTTCATATACTAAATTGATGAAAAAATCAATACTCAATTACATTCTTTACATAACAAATATTGCTTAATGCATGGCTTAAAAAAAATTCCTGCAATCAGTTATTCCGATTTATATCCAATCGTATTTAAAGGTCAAAAATGGCGGAACTGTATTATCTTTAAACGATATCGATCATCTAATTTGATTTTGGGATCGGTTCCGCTATAAACCAAATTTTCGTTTATTTTTTACAAATATTTTTGGTGTATTTTCCGTCAAAGTCACCACAATTAGTTATTTTCACTTCATAAAAACTTTCGTTAGTGCCAAAAATCAAATTATTCGGTCGAACTTGCAAAAGCGATTATGACGTATAAATGGATTAACGCGTCACAATGTAATTCGATTTCCCGCCAGATTTGATTCGAGCCTCACGTGACTCGGGAAAGATCGACTTTTCATATTTATAATTAATGAAGAAGAAGAATTTTGCTTCACAAACGTTTCAAAAAGGTTTGTTTTCGTAATTTCAATCATCGGTATGATTGAAAACCTTTGAGAAATAATGAAAAAGCAATAAATCGAGAGTTAGCAATGCCACCAATGATTTGATTTCCCTGTAGTTTTTTTCTCGCGTGAAATTTCGCATCCCGATTCCCAACAATCTTTTTTTTAAGTAAAAAGAGAACAACCAACAATTATACGATTGGCCCAATTTCTTTATGTATGTTTACGTGTTTTTGGACAACTACAAAATTAGATTTTATGTAAGATTAAAATCAACTCGATGGACCTTATCAAAAATGAATACGAACTGTTTTTTTGTAGTTTAAATTAATAATATCAATTTCTGATTGTACAGTTATACCCTTATATTCATCAAACGTCGAAATATATTTACAAAAATCTTATAGTACTGATTTTGTTACCTCATTAATACGGAATAAGAATCTAAAACCTTGAATCTCGATTTCGTACAAAGTATCGTTTACATAATTTGAAACGTGATAATTAATAAAGTATCCAATGCAATCAAAATAATATCAAATAACATCGCAGAGGAAACAAAAATAACAGATGTCTCGGGTCATGTTATTACAGTCATTGGTTGGGTATTTCAACCCTCTCTCTTCGTCAAAGCATTTATCAACATTATAAGCTTAATATTATTGGAAGATATATTTAATACATACTAAAAGGTTTATCTTAGTAACTAACATTAATTAAAGCGGGATATTTAAATCCCCAAGGGCGGGAAGACTGCGGGCAGTGATTGGCTACAATCCAAATGACGTCACAAAATAACATTGATATAATTCAGTTGATCTCAGTGATCAAACTAGTCAACGGTTTATTAATATATTTCATGGAGACACCTCTGGGATTACAGTTGCTTTGCGAAAAAGTTTATGCCCTTGCTGTTGAAAAAGGCAAAACGTTTACACGCGTTTTATAGTGATAATTACTGTATGTACTGTACTGTACTTGGTTGCGCGTACTGGGCTTTACTCAAATATAGATTATCATTAGAACATTCAGATCGTCTTAAATTTGTACTTAACAATATTTTCTGTTACCATATATAAACAGAAAACAATTACAGAGAGCACATTATTTAATGTATATACTATAAAGTAAAGAATATGTATTGTAGCCCCTTGAGACCTTTTGGGTTTGAGCCTCAAGGTCAAGGGTTCGATTCCCGTTGTGTTTTGATGTTTTTCGTGTTTTAAAAGCTTGCTATAATCCCTGGTGTCGAGCCAATTGATTTTTCGCCTATTGGATTAACTCTACTGAAACAGAGGCGGCACCAAGACTGCTGTGATTTATGATATACAACGGAGAATTCACACCGCAACCAGGAAAAGCGCTTTGTACGAGAAGCATAAAGGTTGAAAGTTTAATTCATGGCTAAAAATTGAAAGTACAATTCAAAAATATTATTAGTTAATATATAATAGCAGAGTTAAAACTTTCCAAAAGTGTTGGTTACATATTTTTCTGCAACAATATGTATATTAAACAGCATTTAACGTGTTAAAATGATAACATGCACAATGTATTATGTTACTTATAGTATATTATAGAATACAAACGCTTAGTTCTATCATTGCGTTAAGTAGATCGGATCATACTTGAGGTCCAAATACTCTGAGCTAACAAGGTTTTACACTTTGTTCAAACCTTTATGCAGTAATGCCATTACGGTACATTTTGGAACCTTAGCGCTGTGTTTTTCGGGAACTAAAAGAATAGATTGGAGCACTGTGGAAAAATTTTTCAATGTTTACAGATAAAAATTGCCAGTTTGTTGGTCAATACCAATATTCCATTGTCTCAAAGTTAAGTTCACTCCGCCACATGTTGCATGCAATTCTGCATTACCTTATTTCGACTAGTGAGTAATGCAATTTGTGGCAACGATGCATCTTTGACATGGCGTGTGATGTCCAATCAAATCTTTAAATGTGGCAAAAATCATCATCCGATGACCTTTGACATTATGAACTGTTAAACGAAGGGTTCTTTCTACAAGGCAATCATAGTTCTTTGATACATAGTCAACTATTTACAAAGTACTCTTATCAGAACTGTGTCTAAATCAGAGTTGATAGATTAATTCCCTGCATGGCGCCGCAGACTGACCCATGGGACTGGAGATCGGCGTAATTAAATTATCCTACTTATTCTATGTATGTTCTTTTGAATATCTGCCTATAATCAAGGTTTATTCATATTAGTCCTGCTGCAATTTCATCATCCGAAGTCATACGGGGTCGTAAATAAATATCATGAATAGATTGGAACGACTTAAGTTGATATAAACGGAACTGTCACTATCAAGTTTACAGGGATTTATCGAATCGCCGCAATATATACTTTTAATAAAGAACACTTTGTAAATTTATTATTTATATTGTTTCAAACAAGACAAATTTTCCCTCAAAGTAGCATTTTTGGATGATTTGATGCAATTTAGCACACAGTTGATCAACAGATTACGGGATATACTAATGTGTAAAGGATAAAACATGTAAAAGATATCAAATAACCAAAGTATTTACATTTGATAACGAAATTTAAAAAAATGCAGTTTTATTACAACCAAGACTAATTTTCTATCAAAGTAGCATTTTTGTACGATCACAATCCGATTAATACAATTTAGCCTACAGTCGATTGATAGATTATTTGATACGGATGTAGAGGATGAAAATATGCCGCAAGAATGTGGAAGACAGACTCGTATCTGTATAGTTTACTGGTATCAAACAACTTTCCCCAGTGTAAGCTGATCAGAATGTCCCCAGAGTAAATAAAATCAATGCCAAGGTTCGGTGGAGTTAAGACGAAACAAAATCTCTCAAAACATCAAAAGGTCAAAGTTCGCCTGAAAACCCACCAAATCTCGGATTGTCTTTCGCTTGTTCTTATTCATTTAATCTCTTTGCGAATAGATTCCACTTTGCGGCGAGTGGAATAAATCCCCCAAGTGGTAGTATTACTTTCACTAAAAACAATGTTGCTATAGAAACGGTAGTGGGGACGAGTTTACACATAACAGATTTGTAAACTTGAACTTTATCCAAAATATGATGAAACGCCACCGCTAAAATTTCACTGTGATAATACCACGCCGGACTGTAGCGTCAACATATAGCTTTGCGGATAAAGAGAATGTATTTTCATTCCCACGTAGAACGTATGAGCTTAGGGAACAACATTTATATTTAACGAGAACCAACATGCAACGATATATCTACAAATTTTGGAATGCAAAACTCTCACTGCTTTCATATCTTCAGAGTCAAAAAGTTTCACTGTTTACTGTTTCATTTTGTCTAGGGTTGAGCAGTTTTGCAGTTTGACGGACGATACTACTACGAAATACCAGTATATTTTACGCATTTTATTGAAGTATATGTCACGTTGCCCAAAAGCCTTTCGCTTTAAAAGCTACACATTTGGCATAGATATGTCCCCGTATCTTATTACATACAAATATGTAAAATTATGTAACTAATATATTCTCCATTGGGACGACAGACGACATAGAAAGCTTGAATTTCAGCAGAATTCCAGTTCAAATACATTGTAATACAAAACTATGGTATTCGATTTTAGTCGGCACATTTCTTTGTAGTTAGTGATGTTATGCACGGTTTGAAAATTCAGTGATTTTACTTTCCTTCCGTGTTAGTTCATTATTTTTACTCGTTTTAAACATAACGCAGCATATCTGATCATGAATTATCAGTGAACTCTGTTATGATATGTACAGAATTATTCGATCACTATAGGGGTGTTCATTCAATTCAGTTTATTGCAAACGAAGTGAGTTTATGTAATAATGGGAAGAATATAAGGTTTAAATACACCTCTCCCTCAATAGTTCGTACTCTAGGAACAAATATTGTTAATCAACATTTTTGAATACAAAACGAATGAAGACTTCTTATACAACAAAAAGCATAATTTGTATGCAACACATGTTGTCACTTCAGTACACATCTTTTTAAATCTTTTGTAAAGTTTTTTTTTTTTTTCATTAGCCATAGCTAAGTTTTTTGTCTCGATCAATTGAAAAATAAAAAATACTCACTGTTTATAGCATTCTTTACAATATAGTTTACAATTTCTCGAGAAACAGGAATCTGAGAGTGGTTGTTGACAAGAGCCGCAGGAAACACATTCTAAACAGAAAATAAAATGCTTATTCTCAGTTGTACTATAGTGGTCAAGTACATAACTCAGAATGGTGTGAAGTTTCTACATATTATTCACTGGTGATATTTCTGAAGTATGTTTAGTGGTATCTAACGTTATCATATGTATAATCTTCCATCTAATGATTATCGATATTTTCATCCCAAAATTTCGTATTAATTTTGGCTTTTTCGATATTAGCGAAAATGTAACACTTACTTTCATGCCAAGATCTTCCGTCCACTTTCATATAGTATTTGTCTAAAATTTGGTCAGTGCATCCTGCACAAGACATCGGGATTTCTGGTTCTATCTTCACCCCTGGAGGGCAGTCTATACAAAATTTTGCTTCTCCTCCCCCTTTTTCATTTGTCGGACTTATTGTTTGATGGCTCGTCGGGACAGCGGCCTTGCATTCTGAAAAATATAGGAAATATATATATCTATATGGATGTATAGATACTTTTTATTTTCTCGTAATTTTTGTACGGTTAGGTTTTTTCACTGACCAGAAAATAAAATTGACTTAAATTGTATACAACAATACCTTATCGTCGCACCCATTATAGGATTCTTGGACCTCCTGATATATGCGCACCAAAATGGCGTTAGGGTTCAGGTTGTGCGACATCCTAGTGCGCATACTTCAGGAGTACCGGACTCTTTATTTTATATTGTATCACATTCGTAATAATGAGTAGAATATATTGGTATCGAATTATCATTTCAGTTTTTGCTAATTGAACATTAATTTTGTCGTTATGCCTGGCTTTTATTCCAACTCGACTCTAGGTTAATATTTAGCACAAATTACTAATAAGCACTGGGATGCCTTTGTAGATATCGCGTTTTTTATCAATAGCATTGAATTAAAACAAAATTGAGACAAAATTTCTTTCTTGTAAGTAAATTACTTGCAAAGTATATCAACATTTACTACATCATAATAGGCATTCACTTTATCATTCAATATGTTTTGAAGCCAGTATTGATGGAATCATTATTTTTCAAATCAAGCATTTATTGATAAAACACAGCAGCAACCTTTTAAATACACACATACGAGGTTAATAATCTTACCGTTACAAGAACGCAAATAAAACTGATTTGCTTTGATCACGAGTTCATATACCAACCTAAGACACAAGTATTGACCGCAGGCTCATGACAAAAATGTAATTATCGCAATCATATAGTGCTTATCTTGCATTTTAAATTAAAGGAGTAACGCTAGCTGCAATAAATGGAATATTACATGAATAGGGACAGAAATTGAATTCATATTGTCTGAATAATTCAGAGCAAATAACTCGGCAATCGTTATGCAGATCATTTATTTCAAATCTTCAAAATATTTTCTCAAAAAAGTTTCGGTATGCCCCATCGGAGATAAAATATACCGGCCAATTTTAATGGTTAACATTCAGTTATCTGTAGTTATCAACAGCAATATTATTAGAAGGCTAAAGAAATTTCGGCGATCCAGAAGTATATGTACCTATATGGAGATAACTGATTTTGTTCGCATACTTTGCATCGAGTTGCGTAAAGAGACTGAAACCTGAGGGAGGGACGTATATATTTATTTACTTGGCTAAAACTGACAGTCCCCGAACTCGGTTTTACGGTATTTTTGTGACTTTAGAGCATTTGCGCATTCCGGGTTTGAGCCATTTTATTGAAATAGTTGAGAAAGCCATGCGATTATAACATAGCAAAAATTATCTTTAAACGTACAGAACCGATATCACTATATCAAAGTCATATTCATATTCTATTGGTGGATGATAATTTAACAATATTTACGTCAGAGGATTTGAAAGTATGAGATAGCGCTTTATTAGTGGATACATTTGACAGAGAATTCAAAGGAAGGAATAAAGAAAACCACGTTTAATTTAGGTTCTGACAAAAATATATAACAAATAACCGTCCCGTAAATATGCCTTCAAATGCGGACATTTCGTTTTAAAGTGATTTCTATAAAGCTGGTACCGCCCGTTGGAATACACAGTTCCCTTATAGTGACGTATGAATCCCACACATTCTGTACGTGACAAAACAAATCTTGTATTGTTGAATCACAGTAAAAAAGTAAATAATCGAATTGTTTCATCACAGGAAGATGCCGACAATGATCAAAGCAGTTGTCAGTTACAGAACCCACGTGAGTGTTTGCGCAGATGTAAGATAGGAGGAGCGGTTTCGTACGTCGAACTTCGTATAAACTATCCAAAACGAAACATGTTTCACATTGCTACCTTGCACACAAATAGGCAGAAATGATATTAAAAGAGTTAATAATAATAGAGTCTTGTTTCGTATTATGAGATACATACTTTAAAATCGAATATTTGATCAAATATAAATACAGTATATTGATATTCAATTACGAAATGCTTTGGTGATGCAACAATCCAGGAAAATGAAATTTTATGTTGTAGTCGTGATCGCATAATCGATATGTATATTTCTATACTTCTATCAACAATATAATACTTTTATTCATTTCTGAAAATATTGGCCAATATTATAAATGCAAAATTCCTGATGCTGTTTACATACAATCGTATAAGGCAATCTGTCAGCTGAGGTATATTCTATGTACGAGATCATAATTAATACAAATAACTGGTCTATCTTAAACTCGAACACCCTGAATTTCAAGGTATTAAATGTAAGGGAGCAACAGACAGTTATGTAGAGGAAATGCTAAAAATTACATCATTTATTTTTAGTCCAAACAAATGCAAACAATACCTTCCTTTGATATCAAATGGGGACGTGTTAAATGCCAATAGTGGACACTTGATGGTAATTATGTCGTAAATATCTCCAAAATTTCTAGTTACCAGTTATTTTCTTAACACCTAAATAGCATAGTAAACATACTCTTTTACATAATCAAGATGCTAATGACTCCAACACGGATCTCGTCGTGTATATATACTTAGTTGGGTCATACGGGTGATTTGTAGGGGCTATATTCGGTGTCATTATACAGAGCAATGGTTATAACCCTCGGGAACTGATACGTTGTTAACTATCTCGTGGCCGCCTCATATTTACCGCAAATACCAGAACGAAATAACCGTTATGCATTATTAAATACCGATGTATTGGTACACCGTGATCATTCAGCATACGTAATGTTACTTTTATTTATTTGAATCAGTTCAAGCATGCACTGACATGTAGGGTTCGGGGAACCACCAAACGAAGACATGTCGACTTCAATAACTAGTTCGAATGATTAACTAATTGGAAACAAAGGATTTACCAATTTGAAAAAATGAAATCGTTTGATGTTGTATCGTCCTTAACCGCAACACGTCTTATCAAATTGAGTACATTGAAAAACAAAACCTAAATGGTTCACCTATTTGGTCCATATTAATTATGCCATTTTATGCCATATTCGACGCTCCAAGAACAATATAAAGTTAAAAACAAGATATGTAGTCTCCTAAGGATTTGCCTGTTGGAGTTCGCTTTACTTGTCCCTTATTAGCTGTTTTACATCTGCGGTCAGATAGGAGCATTCTTTCTTAGGCTTCGGTCGTACGCAAAATGGAAGAAGGGTATCGAAATGACAAGTTCGTATTTATTTTGGTTGAGTCATATACATAATTCTTTCTCTCTCAAGCAATTTATACCAAGTTTTGAGAATCTTCTTGATTTTGTGACGCAACGATGCGTGAAACAATGCTTCAAAACACGAATGAGTAACCACGACCACGAGGTCAAATTTTGTGACCCCTAACTTTGAATGCGTGACCTTTGGGTAAAGGCCACATCCTTTCAAATATGAACTAAAATAAGCGCAGTTGCTACAGACGTTGCCCAACAAAATCCCTCAACGACTCTGCGGTTTATAACTTGATTGAAAACCACATTCGACAACGTTGGTGTTCATTCACTGATCGGTGAATTATTTTTCATTAGAAACTGATTAATTATCTACACCGTGAGGGATGGTATCCAATCAATGTTAAACTTAATGTGTTTACCTCCATCAGATTATATTGTTTTAGATTACCAATAGATTCAAATTCCCAATAAATGCTCGAGGTCACAAGGAATATAGTTTCTAATTATCATAAATGAATATAATAAATTACAAACAATTTTTCGAAATGGTTTCAGTACCAGAAAGATTTTTCATACACTTACACTAATTAATATATGTGGTATACGGCATATATTCTTGTGGGCTACGTAGAACGGTACCGATATATTGCAAACATTGAAATATCTTATTTAAGAAAATATTGTGGTATCAATTATAAAAAAATTATATTTTCTCTTGAATAATTTTTTGATTCAAAATGACTTTGATTAAACAAAATTACGATTTCTCAAAGCCTGAATTGCTCGAAATGGCGTGATACAATTTCATTGTGTAGACGATTCCAGCAACCCGCTCAGCAATATTTAAGACTCTGAATTCGATTTAGTCGTGTAAATTGTTCACCGAAATTTCTATTTTTATTCTTTTTCTAGTGCTAATTCCCACCAATCGTGAGCGATAGTGGCCGCAAACGTGCGGTTGCAGATTCACAATCACTAATAAAAATGGCCACCATTTTGTTCACTTAAGGATTCGGTCACGTTTTTTTTTTAATTTCAATCTGTAAAACAGTGGTTCTGAACCAAATACCACCAATATTGGCTTGTTTGAACTTTTACTTAAGCTTGTCATATACAGTAATTACATTTGGAAGTAAATTGCTATAAGAAACCCGAATTTAACATCTTGAGAGAACCAAATCTGATTGTTCTTAGTGAATTCAGGAAATGATAGAGAAACATTTTCGAAAGTGCTACATGTCTTGGTTCGTAGGCCGTGGCACGAACTTACTAGCCAATGAAAAAGAAAGTATGATTTCGAAATACCAAGTATGGCGCTAAAAAAACAAACTAGAAATTGGCATCAATTATTTTAGGATCGAGTTTTTTTATTTTATTCAAAACAACATTAAATCCGCGAGTTCTTCTAATACTATCGGCATTTTCGTGATCTCATTGCTCCTAACACTTGCAACTCCCCAAATCCACTATTTATTCCAAACGCCCCAATCATGTATCGTAAAAAGTCGCTGTACTGAAGTAAAAATGGCAGAAATCACAACAGAAATATCGCGCACCATTTAGACAAAATATGATCATATATTATTATGCATGTTTCCATGTAATTTAAACTTTTGTAACTTCTCAAGGGACCAGTACAAGATTGTTACACGGGTCATTGTCTTAGGACTTAGCAATTAGTTGTATTTTTGGTTTTTCTACATTGCTTTTGCATTGCTACATTGTTTTAAATATTTCAACAGAAACGACACAGTTTGATTTCAAGTGGTTGTAACGCGTTAATAACTACTTTTTCTGTGTCTTTCGTTTTAGAGGATTGGTACACG